TTCCTATTTTAGGGCTCTCATACAAGCTGTGCTTTTTGCCCTCTTGGTCTTCTTTACCTCTACCCTTCCTTCAGATTCCTATTTAAAGTCATATCTGTAGGGGTGTCTTTCCCAACCTCAACAGACCACTTATATACTCCATGGCGTTCTTTTCCTCCGAGACACTCAGCACAATTAATAAAATGATTAATGACATAATTATACACTCGATATATGCCACTTGATGCATACTCCATGAAGCCAGAAACTGTTGCTCTGGTGTCTGGTACATTAATAGGCACTTGGTAAATATGTGTTGAATGAATGAATGAAGTAGAATAAATTTAAAATTTAAGAGTTGCATGAAAGCATCTAATAATGAAATAACTTTAAAATAAAAACTATATTGTAAGGATTTTTAATAATATAAATAAGTTCCAATGATGGAGGCTTGCAGTTTAAAATTGACACAATTTTTGGGTGCCTGGGTGGTTCAGTTGGTTGACTGTCAGTGACAGTCAGTGACTGACTCTTGATTTTGGTTCAGGTCATGATTCCAGGGCAGTGCTGAGCATGGAGCCTGTTGGAGATTCCTCTCTCCCTCTGCCCCTCCCCCATCTCTTGCACACGCATGCGTGCTCTCTCTTTCTCTCTATAAAATTTAAAAAAAACACTATTTAGGCTATTCCTAGGATAGATGTCATGACACATTGTTGTTTATATATAATGCATATATCTAGAGTTTTATAAAAAGAAAATCTATGTGTGCAAGTTTTTGTGTATTCATACATATATATTAATAGGAACAAAAGAAAACCTAAATATTGTGTGTTTGTGTAAAAGACAGGGAGATTGAAGGAAAACCAGGCTGTCTGGTTCATATCTCAGCTCTGCTATTTATTGGCATAGGATCTGAGGACAGTACACATAATGTGTCCAATAAATGTTACCTATTATAATATAGATATAAGAACAGATTAAAAGTGACAGATTATATACCAAGGTGTTAGCAGTGATTCTCTCTTGGGATTTGTTTTTTAAATCTGTATTAGCATTTTTAAAAAATATTTATTTATTTTTGAGAGAAAGAGAGAAAGCAAGTGGGGGAGGGCCAGAGAGAGAGAGAGAGATACATAGAATCTGAAGCAGGCTCCAGGCTCTGAGCTGTCAGCACAGAGCCCGAGGCAGGGTTCAAACCCACGAACCAGGAGATCATAACCCAAGCAGAAGTCAGATGCTTAACCAGCTAAGCCACGCAGGTGCCTCTGTATTAGTATTTTTTTTTAATGTACATTTTCTATTTGGAAATGATAACCGCACGAGTTCACACAGTGGTCAAGCTCATGGGCGCTGAATCAGTAGTTCCCAGCTTAAATCTCAGTTCCGCCATTTGTACCTTGCATGACTCTGAACAAGTTATTTAACTTCTCTGTACTTCTGTAACTTCATTTGCACAATGACAGTCATAATAATTATACTCATCTCCTGGGACTATCAGAAAGAAGAGAAGAAAAAAACATGTAAAGTGTTTGAAGAATAACGTCTGTCACATACTTAGTGCTCAAAACTGTAGCCAATTTTATGTAATAAAATAAATAAAAGGTTTTAGAAAGATTATCCCTAGTAGTTTGGCAGTTAGATTGCTCTGGAATCTTCGATCTCTGATTTATATAAAAAGGGACTTTATTCTGTGAAGTTAGAGGAGAAATAAGGTAATCCCCTTTTCAGCTGAAGCCATTTGAAGCCAGCTCCAAAGTTGTCCAATTTTGTGTTTCATCATTTTACTAGTATAAATTTAAACTGCTTTTATGTAGGCCAATGGGGTTTCAAGTTTGTTTCTTGGGGAATTATAGTTTTAAATTTGCTGGCACCAAACTCTAAAGTTATGAAACACTTCATGACATGCCTCTCTTTGCTACTCACACACCACAGTCTCTTGGTTTTTATACTGCCTCTCTCCTTGCCACTTCTGAGAGGCCCTTGCTGTCCATCCTCCTCCACGTGACCTCTAAATGTTGGAATTCCCTGGGTCAGGTTCCAGGGCCTTTTTCTTTTATTCCTACACTCTTTCGTTGTATGCACTCAACATTCCCATGTCTAGCATGTGAATCAAATCTGCATCTAGCCGAACGTCTATTCTTCGGACCGTCTGCGTCATTTTACGTCTCTGTTATATCTGTTTCCATCTCAGAGGGATCTCAAACGCAACAACTCCCATGTGGAGTTATTCACTTCCACCCTCACTAGATGCCAGAACCTGCTCCTCGTTGAGTCTCCCCTACCTCGGGAAGCACACCACTTTCAAGCTAGTTGTCCAAGTGTCTCCTGAGGTGTCTTTCCTCTTCCTCAACTCCCACATTCAATCACTCCATCAGCGGTTCAGTCATCATTTCTACTTTCAACAGATATCTGGACTCTCTGCCCTTCTCTCCGTCTCATTTTTGCCACCCTCATCACGCCATTGCTCCTCACAAGCACAGCCAGAGTAATATTTTAAAAAAGTATATTGTAGGGGCACCTGGATGGCTCAGTGGTTAGGCATCTGATTTAGGCTCAGGTCATGATCTCATGGTTTGTGAGTTCAAGCCCTGTGTCAGACTCTGTGCTCAGAGCCTGGAGCTTGCTTTAGAATCTGAGTCTCCCTCTCTCTCTGCCCCTCTTACCCTCACTCTCTGTCTCTCTGTCTCTCTCTCTCAAAAATAAATAAATATTAAAAAATTTTTTTAACATATATTGTATCATGTCTCTTCTTTTGCATTAGAACCCTTCAGTGATTCCCTACTGCATTTAGAATAACATCTACACATATGGCCTCGATTCCAATTCCATGTTATCACTACCAGCACCTACAAAGCCCAACATGATCTGGCTCTTATTCACCTCATGTCCCACCACTCTCCTCCACACCATACTCCAGCTATTTCTTTAAAAAAATTTTTTAAAAAACTTTTTATTAAAAAAAAATGTTTTTAATGTTTACTTATTTTTGAGAGACAGAGAGAGACAGAATATGAGCAGGGGAGGGGCAGAGAGAGAGACACACACAGAATCTGAAGCAGGCTCCAGGCTCTGAGCTGTCAGCACAGAGCCTGATGTGGGGCTCCAACCCGCGAATCAGAAGATCATGACCTGAGCCGAAGTTGGATGCTCAACCAACTGAGCCACCCAGGCGCCCCTGTTTATTTATTTTTGAGAGACAGAGAGACAGACTGTGAGCAGGAGAGGGGCAGAGAGAGAGGGAGACACAGAATCTGAAGCAGGCTCCAGGCTCTGAGCTGTCAGCACAGAGCCCAACACAGGGCTTGAACCCACACACTGTGAGATCATGACCTGAGCCAAAGTCGGACGCTTAACCAACTGAGCCACCCAGGCGCCCCTTTACTGCAGTTATTTCTATACCCTTTAGATTTTTAAGTTGTTCCCTTAGCCTAGAACTGTCTCTACTTTCTTTTCCATGCACATGGTTTGTTTCTTTCCTGGTCTCAACTTTGTCAGTTTTTCCTGGCCCCACTAAGTCCCCTTGTTAGTCAGTGGTGCCCACTCAACTCACAGTCATCAAGACGTGTCCTCTGGGGTCATCATTGATCCATCCCTCTTCTGCTTTGCTTAGCAAATGTTTAACAAGTCCAGTTGATTGTTCATTCAAATCTGTTCTCCTTCTGTCTCTTCCTACAGCATAGTCCAGAAATACATTACAGGGCAGCTTTGAAAGATGGACACGATTAGATAGGACAGAGATGGGTCCTCAGTGTGGGCTCTACAGGAACAAAGATTAGTAGCAGAATGAGCTTGGTATTCTGTGAAAAATAAGGAGACACCAAAGCAGCAGCCCGCATTTATTTTTCTTTCCTGTGAACTTATGTTCACTTATCTTCAATGTTAATCACTCTGGACTATGGCCCTTAACTTTTTGAGGAGTTTATTGCCCCCTTTGAATACATGATTAGAAGTTATGAATTCTTTACAGAAAAATGTACCTTAATACAAAATTTTGCAAATCATTTGGAAAAGGAATTCCCAGGCTAAACTGCTGCTTTAGCAGTCAGTCATCTACTATTTGGGATACCCACAGTGTTATTTGTTTCGTTTATTCAACAAATGTTGGAGGCCTACAATGGGGCCAAGAGCAGTTGTAGATGTTGGATTTGTATATGGTGTAGAACATGGTAGATACTTGTTCTTGCCTTCATGGAGCTTGCATTCTATCATGAGAGACAGACATTAAACAAGGAAAAAAATGATAAAGTGTTATATAATGATAAATGTTATAAGGAAAAATAAAGGAGGGCAATGGGATAAGGGTAGATGAGGCTCTTTTAATGATGTGTTTCTCTGCGAGATGATATGTGGACAAGATAAAGTAAGGCAGTGGTCATGAGAAGAGGTGAGAGAAAAACATTACTGGCAATGAGGGCAAAAAGTGCAAAGGCCCAGGGGCCTTCTTCTCTGCATTAAGATATAAGGTACCGTCCAGGATTCTGCACGTTTTCTTCCTCCCGTAATGAATAGCCAGCACGATTCTCAGAACACAGTGTGGGGTTTTCGGGTGCAAGGGCCTCCCCACTTCCCCATTTCAAACGACAAATCCAACCCCACCGGCCTTCAGCCCTCTCTGAAATACCACTCCCCCCAGGAAACCTTAACTCATCCACCTAGGAGCTATCTCGAGCTCCAAAATTTGTATAAACTTAAAAAAAAAAAATAGTCCTTGTTTCCTTCTAAGGATGAGTGCGTAAGGCAGTGATTTTGTTTTCTAGGGGTGTAATACCGCTGAAGTTGAGGCAAACCGGGTCAACTAAACGCGGGAGCCTGCTGGGTGGACCCAGGCGCTTGTGCGGAAATCCCGAGTTCTTCCAGCGGAGACTACATTTCCCAGACTGCCCTGCGGGCCAGGGAGGTGCGTGAAGCGGTGTCTCCTAGGACCCGGATTGAGGTAAGATGGCGGGCCCGCGGTGAGCGGCTGTCAGGTAAACTGCTGCCTTCTCCTCCAGTCAAGGAATTTCTAGAAGCTAGGCAGGCCCAGAAGCCTTATGGGGAGATGTTGATGTCCCCTGCCTGTCGTTCGCGGTAGGATGAACTTGGTGTCCCCAGTCGCGGTCAGTCCTGCAGAAGGGTTGGCTTATGGCCGTGTGCTTGTGGGGCTTCGCTCGTTCCTGGGTGGGTCAGTGGAGGACCCCTGCAGTGCCGGTCTTTTTGGATCTGTCCCTGGGTCCTAGTCCCGGTGCTCTCCGTAGCCTGTTCCTGAGACCGCGTGTCCTCTGAGGCTCTCAGCAGCTTTTGCTTCGGGGTTTGAAGTCTGGGCCAAGAAATTTACTATCTGAACTGGAGTGAGTAATGTAACTTCCAGCTGGGTGTGCTTGCTCCGGATTGGGGGGACCCAATGTTCCCCCCAGATATTTTGTTCCTTGGTTTGTGGTCAGAAAACGTGGAATTGTGTTCCATCCATTCTACCTATAAAGCAGCGGTACAAGTGAGCAGGTAAATCGTTTGACCTCTGTGACCCTTGGTTCTCAGTGTGTAAAATGAAGATGCCTACTTCACAGACTTGTGATAGAGCATAGAATGTTTAGGGAAACGGGTTGTAAGCTGTAAAAAAAAAAAAAGTGTATAAACTCATGAAAAGCAATGCACATGTACGGACCGTGCAAGGAATCGCCCTGCATTTTAGTCCCGCTTATAAGACTGTGCGGCCTGTGTCCCGATTCCATATAATCACTGTTGGGGGAAGGGAACCAACAGTTATCAGGCCGATTAAAAATCAGGGATGTAGCAACGGTGAGAAGTCATTTACTTACAAAAGCCGTGGAGGATGTGGTTGTTTTCCCTATTTTACCCTGGAAGAAACAAAGGGTCCAAAGTTTCCACGAGAGCGACTTTAAAGTTCTTGTAAGCTAATCATTTGAATTTTGTGCTTTAGTTTCTTCATGAATGAAAATAAAGATACCTGTAAAGTAAAATGGTACTGAAAGCAGCTCCGAAAGTGAAAAACCTTGTGCATAGAGAAGAGGGTGAAATTTTACTTGGGACTTTAGAGAGGTTATATGTCTTCCTCTAAATCAGTATTTAATGGGCCAACGATAGGACTTGTTTAATATTTAATCGGAAACAATCCTACTTCAAGTGATGTAGTAAGATCGTGTGTATAGCACCTGAGAGGCTGCATACAGACACTTTAATATTGAGGGAGGACGCTTGTGTAGCATGTGTGAGTGACTGTTTCTAAGGGGAGTTAAGCATTTGCTGAATGCTCACTAAATGGAAAGAACTACACTAGGTGCTGAGAAGTTTGCATTTAAGAAAAATAGTAATTGATATCAGTCCAAGGTTGTAGGTCTTATATATTCTGGTGGTGGTCTTTGTCCTGTATCACATGGAAATTGAAAGTTGTTTAAAAGTTTTTCTTGTGACGGTATAGTTCTAGGTAGTGGTTCCTATCTTGTTCTTACAGTGTTCAATATATTGTACCCCTTTAATTTACCATAGGTAGCACTAATTTTTCTTTATCTCTTATGCAGGGATGAAAATAGGTATGCCTGGAAGCAGATTTTAAAAGCAGTTTCTCTTCAGATCATCTTTCACACCACCTGATAAGCATCTTGAATCATCATGGTGTTAGCAGCAGTAAAATGGGTGATATCAAACAGAACTCTCTGGAAACCTTTCTTTCCGATTCAAAGTGAGATTTTTTTTTTTAATGTTTAAAAGTTAAAAAATGTTCAAATGTTATAGAAATCCTGTTCACTGTAGAAAATATAAAGTGTTGAGGTATTAATCCCCCCAAAAAAGTGTTTAGTTATTGTAAATGCCTCTTAATAGCAGGAATGTTTGCAATAATGGAAAAGGGGAGAAAGTCTAAATATCTGTCAAAGGGGGATAGATAAATTATGGCATCTCTTTATTATGAATATACAGCCGTTACCAACATGAAAAGATCTCTAAATAGGAGGGGTAAAAGTATGTCACAGAACAGTATCTATTGTATGATCCCATTTGTGCATTTTAATGATGATCTACCATATACGTGTGTATGTGTATGTATAAATATAGAGTAAAAGATGTGGACCAAAAAAATTATCTGTGTAGATCACTACTGGGATTCAGCTGAGGGCAAGTGAGGGATTGACAAAGAGGAACTTTCTCTGGTTTGAATCACTTAAATTTACTGTGTTTTCACACGTTACTTTTTTTAGTAGTTCTTAAGATTAGCAAATACAGGGCAAATTTACAGTTTCATCTTATAAAAATCATTGCTAATATTTTGGATTTCAGTTTGTTTTTTCTATGTACTTAGCCATTTAAAAAATATATTTATATATAATATAAACGTATTTTAGGGGCGCCCGGGTGGCGTAGTCGGTTAAGCGTCCGACTTTCGCTCGGGTCATGATCTCGCGGTTCGTGGGTTCGAGCCCCGCGTCGGGCTCTGTGCTGACTGCCAGCTCAGAGCCTGGAGCCTGTTTCAGTCTGTGACTCCCTCTCTCTCTGACCCTCCGCTGCTCACGCTGTCTCTCTCTCTCTCCTAGAAATAAATAAAACATTTAAAAAAAAAATTAAAAAAAAAACAAAAACGTATTTTATATTTTATAATACAGAAAATGTTTATAACCTATAGGGGCACCTTGCTGACTCAGTGGGTAGAACATGTAACTCTTAGTCTTGGGGTCGTGACTTCAAGCCTCCTGTTAGGCATGGAGCTTACTTTTAAAATTTTATAATTTATATAATATATAATCTGTACCTTTTCTGAAGAAATGTGGATAGTCTAATGTTTTCTTCAAAGGCTATTAATACATGTTTGATAGTCAAAACATTGACCCATATAAATAAATAGACTATTAAAATTTAATCTCCCACCTGGTCTTGCTTTCACTCTCCCTTTCTTCTGTCTGTTTCTTCTTCCATTTCTAAGACATAGTTAGAGTGTTACAATAGGTTTGCATTTTCATCATTAGCTATACTAGCCAACTTTTATATACATCTCCAGCTGACCATAATCTCTTCCTTCATGTTTCCTGTTTATTGCAATTTATAATTGAACATTGGTTTATTGAGTTAGGGAGAAAGAGTTGGAAGACTAGGTAAAAACTGAGTAAAAGTATAATTAACCTTAAGTCAGTGGAGGAGGAGATTGCCAAGAGACTTTAGATATAAACTAAGATCAGAATGAGAATGAAACAAAACTCTAGTCTGCTCTTGATTTCTTAGAAGCATTTTAGTTGTTGAGAATTGGGAGAGAGACCTCTGCTGTTTACCCTTCCCTTTGCCCTGACTGGAACCCAGCCTGAAGGCTGATGGGAAATCAGACCCAATACATTTTTCCCTGGTCCATGTCTTGAAAGAGCAATTAACTCTCACTGAGGTTAGTCTAAAAACCAGTTAATATGCCCCTGGATAAGTGAAAATTATCCATGTATACTTTATCTGCTGGATTATAAATTTGTAGTGTCTAATTTATTTTGACTTTCTCAGTACCTCTCACACATGGTAGGTGGTAAGTGTTTGAACTGATTTGAATAGATTGAAATTGTTTACATATGTAGTTAACTAAGAATTAATTGATGTTACCCCAGCAAATTAATCCATTTTCACTCAGGCATCCTAACAGTCAGTGAATACCTAACTTCTTGCATTCTAAAGCCCCTTATTCTGCATGAGTTCTATTATTACTATTATTGAAGGTAAAATATTCCTATTATTGATATTTTATATGAAAAGGAAGAACGTTAAGATCAGAGGCAAAGCAAAACCATTATTAAGGGAGAAAGTTCTGTGAACAGAAATAAAAAGGCCTCCCCATAAGCCAGAAGGAACATTTAAAACCTTTCAAAATATACAGTCAAAATTGGAATGTAGAATATTTTAGGTTTTTAAGTGTATTAAGTCATTTCATCTTTACAACTTTAAATAATGGTAGGTATTTAATGAAGGTGAAGAAAGTTGAGTTCTCTGATCTCTCAGAAACCTAATCAAAGTTGTATATCTAATAGATGGGAGCTGTGATCAAAGCTTAGGTCTTCCCATCTTATTTAGCCTGAGACGTTTTCCTATACCTTCTATCCTGTAGAAACTTAAAATATTGAGGGGTGCCTGGGTGGCTCAGTCGGTTAAGCATCTGACCTTGGCTCAGGTCATGATCTCACGGTTCATGGGTTCGAGCCCCGTGTTGGGCTCTGTGCTGACAGCTAGCCCAGAGCCTGGCACCTGCTTCTGATTCTGTGTCTCCCTCTCTCTCTGACCTTGCCCTGCACATGCTGTCTGTCTGTCTCTCTCAAAAAAATAAACATTAAAAAAAATTTTTAAAAATTGAAAATATTGAGCATTTGAAAGTTAAGCAAGACTATCAGTTCTTATGGATCTTATCAGAAAGCAATTAAACATATGTACACGTAACAAGAATAGCTTGTAAGTTATGGAGAATGGACTCTCATTGAAATTCTTTTTGGTGCGTTGAGTTGATTGATGTTAACTTTGGCATTAATTCTAATTATATATTTAAAACCTCTGATATTTAGCATATTTAGAGTTTTTCTCTTGGCAAAGTGTCAAATGAGTTTTTTAGATTATGTACTAATTATGAAGAATTAACATTTATTTATTTATTTATTTATGTTTTTTATTCATTTCTGAGAAAGAGAGAGACAACGTGAGCAGGGGAGGGTCAGAAAGAGAGGGTGATACAGAATCTGAAGCAGGCTCCAGGCTCTGAGCTGGCTGTCAGCACAGAGTCCGATGTGGGGCTCGAACCCACGAACTGTGAGATCATGACCTGAGCCAAAGTCGGACGCTCAACCGACTGAGCCACCCAGGCACCCTGAAGAATTAACATTTAGAGGCAGTTTGAGAATCACTTTTTTATTAGTAGCCACTATAGGGGACAGAGTAATGATCGAAATTTGGTTCCTTGCCTTAAAGAACTTATTTATGCTTGTAGGTGAAATAGACATCTATGGAAATAAGAAATACCTGGAATATGAGGTAGAATGCAGTGTACGTCATGAGGGTGCAAACAAATGTCTGTATGGGTGCAGGATAGAAATTTAATAGAGTTTCTTGTTGACCTGAGAGACCATGGTCTTGAGTTTCCCCTCCTGCCTATTTTAAAAACACTTAAGTCTGTCTGTCCTGCCCCTGCCACCCAAGCCTATTTGTTTGACTGAATGTATATATCACCTAGCTGGCTTATATTCAGAGAATACAAACTTCTTTCAATATTAGTTCATATATGATTAGGAAGATCTCAAACAGTGTCAGAGAGAAAATAAGCGTAAGTGGTTTTTTTACATTGTCCTCTGCTTTGTCTTTTTGAATGCTTCTTTATATTAGCACAGATAATTGAAAATCAAATCTTTTGGGAGATGAGGTTAAATTTCCAGTTCTTTGCATTTTATTATCCTAAATCAATGGAATTTTGGGATTGACATTTTGCTGAGCAGTCTTTTATGATAAAAGTGAGTTTTGTTAAGGCACTTTTTATGCTTTGGAGTAAGAATTTATATTTAGACCTCTAAGTATATGCAGTCTTGGGAAGAGGAGAAGTATATACGAAGGTGGAAAATATACATCTTTTTTACACATCTTTCGTATATATAAATAACTGATGCAGAAAACAGTAAAGACCACAAAGAAGGTATAGTAAGTCGTATGAAGCGTTACTTGTGGGACATGCAACATAGAGTACTTTTTTTTCTGCGATGGGAGTTGTGGGGCAGGGAGGGGACAAAAGATTTCCTGGAAGAGTAGCATTTGACTTTGAAGGATGAGTGGTATTTGAACAAAGTGGGGATTTCACTCCATACTGAGGGACAAGAGATTGGGTTGAAAGAAGTTGATCCTTGGCTTTACCCAAAATACACAGTAGTTCACCCTTTTCCACGAAAGATGTATTCCAAGTCCCCCAGTGGTTGCCTGACACGGTGGGTAGTACTGAACCCTGTGTTTTTTCCGATCCATATATGACTGTGATAAAGTTAAAGTTAGCAATTAGGCACAGTAAGAGTAACAATCATAATAATAAAATCGAACAATTTTAATATACTGTAGTAAAAATTATGTGAATGTGGTCTCAATAGTTTATTGGGTTTTTTTTTTTTTTTGATGTTTTTATTTATTTCTAAGAGAGAGAGACAGCGTGAGCAGGGGAGGGTCAGAGAGAGAGGGAGACACAGAATCTGAAGCAGGCTCCAGGCTCTGAGCTGGCTGTCAGCACAGAGCCCAATGCGGAGCTCGAACCCACTAACTGAGATCATGACCTGAGCCGAAGTTGGACGCTTAACTGACTGAGCCACCCAGGCGCCCCATTAGCTTATTGTATTGTACACACCCTTCTTTTTGTGATGATGTGAGATAAAATGTATATGTGATAAGTTGAAGCAAGGTGAATGACATTAGCACTGTGATGTAGCTTTAGGCTACTATTGACCTGCCACTATGTCAGGAGGGTCATCTGCTTCTGGACTGAGGTCGACCTTGGGTAACTGAAACTACAGAAGGCAGAAATATGGATAAGGGCTGGGGGTAGGGGAAGGAGTACTGTATTCAGATCTGTTTTTAAGTATACTGAGCTACATTTACATTTTTTCTTTATTTTTAAAAGCACCATTTCTCTGAAGATAGGAGAAGCTTTAACAAACCTAAAGTAGTGATGGCTCTTGAATTTGCAGGTATTCTAAAAAAGGGAAAATATGCTATGAAATGTGAGCATTTTGATTAAGAAAAGTTAATTTTGAACAATTTATTTTGTATTTCATCCTTAACACTCCCCCTTTGTGAACTGTGCACTTGGTCTCATAAAAGGTTTTTTTGATTAATTGGTTAATTTATTTAACAGAAGTTTTTTAGAATACCTAAATGCTTCATGTTCTTTCTTACCTGTGGTCCTTAGTACTTGTAACTCTGCAAAGATCATTGTCCTCAACCACGGCCAACTCACTCCTCCTTATTCCTCCATTCTTCAGAGTACTTTAGACATCATTTCCACTGGAAAGGCATTCTTAAACCAGCACAGCCCTATTTTGTAACCTGTCGGTGTGCCCCTCTCCCAATGCCTACCCGTCCTAACAGGGCTTATCGTTTAGACTGGAATAGTTTGTTTGTATTGGAATGCTCTCTCACCAGACTTGTACCCATTTTGAAAGCAGGGACTGAACGGCTGGTCTCCAGTACAGCCCTGCTTCCTAGTAAGCGCAGTAAATGTTGGCTGAATGAGTGAGAGCAGCTTTACATGTATGTGAGAACATATGCTGAAATTGACTGAATCCATTCTACTGCTTGCGGTTTTTGCAGACGGAGCTTTATATTGTGTTTGTCATAAGTCTACGTATTCTCCTCTTCCAGATGACTATAATTGGTATGTATTTAAATTCAGTTGAAAAAATGATAGTCTTTTGTATCTGATTTAATTTTTTTCTCCTTTTGGTATTTTCTGCTTTCTTTTCTGATTACTTTGTATTTCATTTTGTATTTAAAAATTATTTCATTGGTCTTATTAACCCAGTATCTGGGCTTATAAATGCGTTAAATAAAAATCATTATCATTGTGTTTCAGTGAATACTTAATTTGTTGTAAGACAGACATGTTGTTAGACATGCTGTCTTTTATTCCAAAGCAATTCTTAGCTTTATGGAAAAGTTAGTTTTTATAGTTTTTTTTCTCTTGAGGTTCATATCTGTTAGCTTAAGCAGTTATTTATCTTTTGTTTAATGTTGAATAATCCTAAATTACAAATAATTTAATGCAGTCACAATTTATTTGGTATTTATTCAATTCTAGTCACTATGCTAAGAACTAGGAATAACATGAATAAGATGTTGGCTTTTTTTCTCTGCAGAAGAGACTGATATATGGAAACTGCAACATATTTTCTTAAGCTATGTTGTTTTTATTGCAAATTTTAGTAAAAATAAATTTTTTCCGTCTTGACACTATAGTTTGAGTTTTAAGTGTATATTTAGTAAGTACTAAGATAGTGACGAGATGAGACTAAGTAATAGGAAATACTTTTTAAACCTGAAAATATTCAGTCTCATAAGTGTTTTGTATTATGTAAAACTCCATTCTTCATAAAAAATCATTTTAGATTCAGTGTTCATTATAGCCGTGTTATGTTATTTCATCTTAAAATCGTGGTGAAAGAACCTGACCCCTTATCCTGCATTAGCTAAAATATGTTGTAGTGTTTAATTGCAACTCTGGTTCAGATCTGCTTGATATTGAAATCCTAGAGACTCAAATTTATAGAAGTGTGAAGAACACATAAAGTTAATGAAAGGTAAAAGTTGTTCTCTTTAGAATGTATATGGATCTAAATACAATAGTAGTTGCTATAAAAAACCAGCTTGGTCAGTTGTTAACTGAATGAGATCCAGCCAGAGCATTCTGGAAAAAATATTTGGAGGAGTATTGCCTAAAATGTGTTTTTCTGAGGGATGCTAATGGAGAGAAGGGATAGGTATTCAGTAATTAACCAAATTTATTTGACCTCAGAACTCTATGGGAGGCTTCTTACGGTTGTACTGTAAGAATGCACTTAGAGAAATGCTGATCTAGAAAAAGTGCTCTACTGTAATCTTTATGATTGGAAATTCAGGTGATCCTTTGCCTTGAAGATTATTTACTTTGCTGATCTTTTACTTTAATAATTCAAGTAATGTACTTCTTACATTAGCTTAGCTTTTTGAAGGTAGTTTTTAGATAAGGAAAATTTCTAATAATGGTGATGAGTCATCATGAAGATTTCTTCCAAAGATTTGGATAGTCTGAAAACAAATAATCTGAAAAATAATTCAGATACAGTAGTGGATAACACATTAAGGGTTTGTTGTGGTAGTTAAGCTATTTGGTGGAGTAGTCGAGTGGTCCTCTGTGATATGGGTACTAGGTGCCATAGCTTCATTCTCAGGGGTTGAGGATTAATTACTTTTATCTCTAAGAAAGTCATTCTGCCTTGAATACAGTATAACTATTTCTAAAACATTCTTTTTTAGCAAAGTAGAGCTTGCTTTGACATCAGATGGCAGGACAATAGTATGCTACCACCCTTCTGTGGACATTCCATATGAACATACAAAAGTACGTATGAGAAAACCTCTTGTAATTTTTAATTTGCTGTTAGAAATATTCATACTTCCTTACAGTATCCAAAACGAATAGAGCTGTTTGATTTCCTTTATTTGGTTTAGATTTTTGTTTTTTATTTTACTATTTCAATTTTTCTTTTCCATCTTCTTTCCTTAAAAGCTTTTTTCTGTACACAAAGTGAACCATTTAAATGTAATCATAGCATCAATTTTCTGGTCTAAAATTTGGTAGATTTTTGTATAGTATAAATTTACAAAACACATTGTCCCATACTACCTTATATTGTGATCTCATAAATCATGAAACACTGTATTTTAGAATGCTGTTTTAAACCTTTCATATTGAATTGGTTCTGATAATCCTTTTATTTATTTATTAAAAAACTTTTTTTTAATGTTTTATTTATTTCTGAGAGAGAGACAGCGTGAGCGGGGGAGGGTCAGAGGGAGAGGGAGAAACAGAATCTGAAATACTCTTCAGGCTCTGAGCTGGCTGTCAGCACAGAGCCCGACGCAGGGCTTGAACCCACCAACCGCGAGATCATGATCTGAGCTGAAGTCAGACACTTAACCGACTGAGCCACCCAGGCGCCCCTCTGATAGTCCTTTTAATCTTTGGTGAATTTCCTTTTTTTTTTTTTTTTTCCAATTAGCTTTTTCTAATGGGACAACATGGGCATATATTTTAAGGACTAGTTTAATTTTTTCCATATTTCTTCAAAAGCCACCCACTAGGAAGAGGGGGGTTTAGTTTTGCTTTCAGTACAATTTACTTAAAAAATTTGTTTAATGTTTATTTTTTTGAGAGAGATAGAGCATGAGCAGAGGAGGAGCAGAGAGGGAGACAGAATCTGAAGCAGGTTCCAGGCTCTGAGCTGATAGCACAGAGCCCGATGGGAAGCTCCAACTCACCAATGGCAAGTTCCATGACCTTAGCTGAAGTTGAACATTTAGCCAACTGAGCCACCCTGATGCCCCTCAATACAGTTTATTTTAGCTTGACCCAAGTTTTTTTGTTATTTCACATTTATTTGAAATGCTTTCTCCTATGTCTTTAAGCCTTCTTTTACCATATTTGATAATGTCTGGTTTGCTTTTTGAGGTGAAAATAATTAGATAATTCAAATCCTGATGTGATGCATCTAATTGTACCTATTTTTGAAAATCATCATTAGGGCCAGAATACTGGTTGATCTGACAAAATAGATTAAAGTTACTTTGCTAGTTTTTATTCCCTTTTTAACCTCACCATTTCATCTGCCTGCTTTATACTGCTGTGTATTCTAGCCAAATATCATAGGCGATAATCCAGTACCTCTTTTGTTTCATTTCTTGGGGCAATGTGTATGTGTAGAAAATAGGTGTAAGTCATTGACTTTGTCTTGTAAACACTCCAGCTCATGCTGTTTTTGCCTTCCTCTATTGTTACTTTGAATTATATTTCTGGTTATGTGCTTTATCTTTGTTTAGCAGTTCTAATGAGAATCTGAAAGTCATTTCTCAATGTCAGATTCTCATCCATATATGGTTTGTTTTTTTTTTTAATTTTTATTTATTTCTAGGAGAGAGAGAGAGAGACAGCGTGAGCAGGGGAGGGTCAGAGAGAGAGGGAGTCACAGACCGAAACAGGCTCCAGGCTCTGAGCTGGCAGTCAGCACAAAGCCCGACGCGGGGCTCGAACCCACAAACCGCGAGATCATGACCTAAGCGAAAGTCGGACGCTTAACCGACTAAGCCACCCAGGCGCCCCCATATATGGTTTTTTACATCCCTGAATCTGATACTTTTCCTTTCTTTCCTAACTCTCAAAACTTTCCACTATATTTTAGAAATTAACATCATCATTAAAATCTCTCATCATCTTAACTTCTTCCAGAATTTTGCCTTCACCTCTGGCTCTACCAGAAACCTGGCTGGACCCTGGGGCCATTGCTTTGTCAGCAATTTTTTTAAGTGGTTGATGTTTTCTTCCCTATTCCCTTTTACTACTGGACCTCTAGGGGAAGTAGATGTCCCTATAGCTCCTTGTTGTCATAGCCAGACCATTTTCCCTCCTCCCTAACAATTTCTAGCTTTGTAATTTGTACTAGGAAGTTCTTTTTAGTGGCTGATTTAGTAGCAAATTTTAAAAGTCAAATTTTGAAAATCCTTAAGAGAAACAAGGGAAATTCAGGATGATAGTTCTGAATGTTTTTTAAACTTGACATTCAGTTTTATTGTAGTTTTTCGTTTTTACTGAAGCATTCACATATCCTTTCTTTGAAGTTTGAGCAAGGAGATCAGATTCTACCTAAAAATCAATTCTGAGTCAGCCAGAGGCTCTTGGTATAGACTTCGAAGAATCCATTAATTCCAATGTCTTTTATCTATGTGCCTGGAAAAGAAGGGTTTTTAATCATACAAAGCAGAGAGAATTTGTGATATATTAGAATTGAGCCTGCTTGGGAATAGGAAGAAGACGTTCATTAACACTTGTAAACAACTTAACTTTTGATAGTACTAAAAACACTTGATCTTTAGCAGCAAGCATAGGGATCTAAAAGAGAGAAAACTATTACAGGCTCTGACCCCATGTTTGCTAGATCCCTGAGGGTCTGATAGTAACTTGCAAAGATACTAATATTTTACTTAACATACAAGTAATAATCTTTTAAAATTACTTTAAATGTCTAAGGAGAGCTTTTTCTTTAAATTATAAATTTAATTTAAATTCTTCTGTTTGAGGCCTTAAAAGATATCTTAGTAGCTACCTACCATTACTGAAGGTTTAAAAAAAATTTTTTTTTTCCTTAACATTTATTTATTTTTGAGAGACAAAGAGAGACCTAGCATGAACGGGGGAGGGACAGAAAGAGAAAGAGACACAGAATCTGAAGTAGGCGCCAGGCTCCAAGCTGTCAGTACAGAGCCCGACGCGGGGCTTGAACTCAAGAACCTTGAGATCATGACTTGAGCCAAAGTTGGATGCCTAACCAAAGTTGGACACTTAACCAGTTGAGCCACCCAGGCTCCCCACTACTGAACTCTTAAGAGTACCAGGGACAGAGGCATCTGGGTGGCTCAGTCGGTTGAGAGTCTGACTTTGGCTTAGGTCATGATCTCCCAGTTTGTGAGTTTGAGCCCTGCCTTGGGCTCACTGCTGTTAGTTCAGAGACTGCTTCAGATCCTCTGTCCTCCCCTCTCTCTGCCCCTCCCCTGCTCATATGCTTGCTTTCTCTTTTTCTCTCTCTCAAAAATAATAAACATTAAAAAAAGTACTAGGGACAGCTAAGCATACTGGATATTATTATTTCATTTAATCCCCATTAAGACCTTATTGGGTAGGTATTATTTCTCTGACTGGAAATGGAAATTAAGAGCTTAAGTAACTTGTTCAAGGTCAGGAGCTAGTAAGTGGCAGAATTAGAGACCAAAGCTCAAGTCCTTAACTTCTTTTAATCCACTTCCTTATTTCCTCCTACACTAAGTAAGTGGTTCCTTATTTCTCCTTACCTCAAGTTGTTAATGGCGAGTCTAATTTGAAGGCCTTTCATAATCCGGTTTCTCATGATCCATTTTTAAAGTTTATCCGTATTGTGTGTTCTTACCTACTTCCCCTTACTTGTAATATTTGTTATCCCTTGTAGAATACATTATGCTCTCTGACAAGGTTCTGACTTGGCTCCTGTTCTACTTCTCACTAATAATCTTTGTTACTTTGCATTTTTGTAATACTAAGTCAATTGTGTCACCTTCATGCCCTTATAGATTGCTTTTTAAAGAAGTCTTATTCTGTCGTGTGCATATACCAAATAAATATAAGTATATGCTGTCCCATTATACAATGGTAGAATGTTGTTGTTGACATTAATAGTGTATGAACGTGAAGACTTTTATGATTGAATTGTTTCCTTTCTGGTTGTAAATTCAGATTTTCATTGTATTATAATGCATATATACGGTATTTGTAAAGGAAGGCAATGTTCCCCCCTTGTGATACATACAGTATCATTTAATATATAAAATATACATGACTTGACTTTCCAAAACAATGATTTTTTTTTTTTGAGAGAGTGCACTTTCAAGTGGGGGAGGGGCATAGGGAGAGGGAGAAAGAATCACAACCAGTCTCCACACCCAGCACGAGCCCGATCTGACTCAGGGCTGGATCTCATGACCGTGAGATCATGACATGAGCTGAAATCAAGAGTTGGACACTTAACTGACTGAGCCATCCAGGCGCTCCCCCCAAGACAGTGATTAAGGATATAATGAGCTAGTGTTATTGATGGGAATATGTCATATCACTCATAATGTGTTATAGACGAGATGAGATTTTAGTAATTGATGTCTTTGCGTGAAAAACTACTCAGGTTACCATAAAGCATCATTTGATGACATTTCAGTCACATAAATGAAAGTATTGAAATTTTTAAAATTTCCTTTGGATAGAAGAATTACCATTTCAAAGTAATGTTTTTCATCGTGGGGCACCTGGGTAGCTCAGTCGGTTAAGTGTACAGCTTCAGTTCAGGTCATGATATCACACTTTTTGAATTTGAGCCTGGCAACTCTGATGACAGCTCAGAGCCTGGAACCTGCTTCAGATTCTGTGTCTCCCTCTCTCTCTGCCCCTCTCCTACTCGCACTCTGTCTCTCTATATCAAAAATAAACAAACATTTAAGAAATTTTAAAAAACATTTTTCATTGTATTTCACTTTAATGATAAGCAAGGTTAGAGACTATAAACTTTTTTTTTAATGTTTATTCATTTTTGAGAGAGACAGAAGCCCAGGATGAGTCGGGGAGGGGCAGAGAGAGAGGGAGACACAGAATCCGAAGCAGCTCCAGGCTCTGAGCTGTCAGTACAGATCCCGATGTGGGGCTTGAACTAACATACGGTGAGATCATGACCTCGGCTGAAGCCAGACATTTAACTGACTGAGCCACCCAGGTGCCCTGAGACTGTAAATTTTTAAGTTAAAAAATAATAAGTCCAATTTATAGTTTTAGGAAATAGAAATTAAAGTAGTAAGTGCTTTATTATTGGGGGGAAAATAACGTTAAATAAGAACTTTATTACTGGAAAATAAACCCAAAACTTGATATGAAAGGAAAAATATTTCTGATTCTTTAATGAATAATGCAACTAAGCAAAATTCTGTTCTGAAAACGTACTTATGTACCTTGAGGTACTGTAATAGATTCCTGAATGTGGTAATTGTTGTATTGTAAGCTCAATCTAAGGCTGGCTAACATTCCTACATTTGATGTTGTTCATTACTTATTATTTTATAGCCTATTCCACGGCCAGATCCTGTGAATAATAATGAAGAAACACATGATCAAGTGCTGAAAACCAGATTAGAAGAAAAAAATGAACACTTTGAGCAAGGCCCTATGATAGAACAACTTAGCAAAATGTTCTTTACTACTAAGCACCGCTGGTATCCTCGTGGACAGTGAGTTCTATTTTCTTTTCTTTAACTCCCACTCCGCGACTAAAAGAATATGTAACCTTCCTTGCATTAACAAACAATACAACAGAGGTTGTATTCTGCATGAGAAAATTAACATCCAGTATGATCACCTACTAAATTGTAGTTTTAGATGTACATATAGTGTAGCTAAAATGAAATAATCCTTCTTTTTTCTTTTACTTTAGTCGGGGAATTTAACCATGCTTTCAGTGAATTTTGCAAGAATTCTTGAAAGTTTTTCTATTCTGTGGTATAGTCATTTGCTGTATTTTTATTCATCCTCCTGTCAAATAATTAATTTTGTCCTTGGCTCTTCATCCATTTATTTAACAGATTTTGAGTCATTGTTTAAAAAATTGGGGTACAGCAAGTGATTGGGCAGTGTATGTGCCTTTAGAAACTAGTTGTCCCTCTATCTGCTAGTAGTCATACTTTATTACATTGATTTTTTTTTTTTTTTTTTTTACCTCCTGTCTCTGGCTTTAGTTTTTTTTTCTTCTTTTGATTCTTCTTTCTTTTATATCTTACTCCCTACCAAAACTAAGAGGTGACTGTTTTTAATCGTTTATGTTTGAACAAACTGTTCTTATCAGTCACCAGTCACCCAGTAATTAAGCACATTTTATGACAGGACATGTTTATGGAATTAATGAATGTACACACGTCTACCTGCTCTACTAGGTGCTGGGCGATCACAAATACCATCCTTGTTGTAAGTTGTTTATAGTTAAGGAGAGAAGATAAAATCGAGTGATTGAGTCTTAAAGAATGGCTAGGGGTTAGCCGTGGGGAAGGCTGGAAAGGCTCTACAGGCAGAGAGAACAGGGTGTCATAGAGAATGCAGAGGACATTGCAAGTAGTTCAGCGTGGAGGGGATCCAGAATCGGAGGGAATGAAGGAACGGGCTTACGAAGGATTTTGTATTGTGCTGAGGAGTTTAGATTTTATTTTCATTGTCAGATTTTAAAAAGAAAGGTTTATATATTAAAAAATCATTAAGTGTGTGTGGGGATACCTGGGTGGCTCAGTGGGTTAAGCATTCAACTCGGCTCAGGTCATGATCTCACATTCTGCGTGTTTGAGCCCCACGTTAGGCTCTGTGCTGACAGCTCAGAGCCTGGAGCCTGCTTCAGATCCTGTGTCTCCCTCTCTCTCTGCCCTTCTCCTCCTTGTGCTCTGTCTGTCTCTGTCTCTCAAAAATAAATAAACATTAAAAAAAAAATCATTAAGTGGGTTCTGTATTGGGACAAGGTGATATATGGGAAGCTTAGAGTCAGGGGGACCCATTTGGAAACTATTATAATAGTCTAGGTGAAATTTGTTGAAAATCTAAATGAAAGGACCAGCAATGGGAATAGAAAGGAGGAAAATAAAAGAACTATAATAAAAGGAAATAAAAGGAGGAAGAAGGAAAATAAAAGAATTTTAATTAGCAGCACTAGGTCACTGATTAGGCATGGGAAGAGACAGGTGGCCTCTCAAGTTCCAGACAGAGCTGTTTGGGTGGATGATGGTGCCATTCATACACATGGGGAAACAGGTTTGACGGTGAGGAAGATGAACCCATTGTTGGTCATACTGAGTCTGGAAGGAACAGTGGATCCATCTGGTAGGGAGCAATTCTGAAAGCAAATGAATGTATGGATCTGTTTTTAGTTTCTCTTTAGAAGGTCCTTCCTTTTCCTTAGTTAAATTGGAGATTCTTTGGAGCTTTGTCTCATACTCCATGTCTTGCTGAAAATCATTCTAAGAGCTTTAACTATACTCATTATATCGATGACATGCAACTTGCTCCATTATATATTTTTTTATTTCCTTGATCTTATTCCCAGTTTGTCCTTAGAAATTTCAAACTAGGTATCTTGTCCAAAGTTTTAAATTTATTATAACAAAAACACACCTCTTTTTGTCTGTCTTAAAAAAGCTCCTCTTAATAATCACTCTATAATAAAAGTGATATTTTTGTATCAATTCTCAAGAAGAGATTTGCAGTATTTTGGCCACCATGGTATTTTTCAATTCCTGCTTCTGATTTTTCTTTTCTTTTTTTTTTTTTAAGTTTTGGGGCGCCTGGGTGGCTCAGTCGGTTAAGCATCCGACTTCAGCTCAGGTCATGATCTCATGGTTTGTGAGCTCGAGCCTGGCATCGGACTCTGCATCTGATAGCTTTGAGCCTGGAGCCTGCTTCGGATTTTGTCTCCTTCTCTCTCTGCCCCACTCTGGCTCACACTCTGTCTGTCTCTCTCTCATTAAACATTTAAAAAAAATTAAAGTTTATTTATTTTGAGAGAGAGAGAGGGCTTGAGGGATGGGGAGAGACAGGAGAGAGAGAGAATCCCAAGTCCAGGTGGGGCTCCATCCCACAACCGTGATAGCATGACCTGAGCTAAAATCAAGATTTGGACACTTAACCAACTGAGCCACCCAGGCATCCCAACCTGCTTATTTTATATCCTCTTCTTTGGTTTTTCTTTTCTTATTTAATACCCACTTTGTTTCTACATTCTCTCTGAGTTTTTTTCCTGTCTTTGTAATTGTAATTAAGGGCATGTGGAAACAAATTAGCAAACTATTTCTTAGCCCCATATCTAAGTCATTACTGTATTCTAAGATTTCTTTCCATGATTCATAATGTCGCTCGTGGTTTTTATTTTGTCTCATTATCCAGATATTTTAGTTGAGGCCCTATCTCAAAATTCTTCTGTAATGGCTTTCACTACCTCTTTTCTCCCGCATGTTCCATACTGCTGTAATCTTTTGCCATCTTTGTTTATAACCAAATCACTGTAGTTATGAAAATCCTGTAAAGGGCACTTGAAGGGGACAAAATTGACAGCAAGAAGACTGCTACAGAATCTTAAAACCATGCTTGTCATCCTCATACTTTTAGGTCTAGTATCTCACCTATACTTAATCTTATTTACTTACTTAATCTTATTACTGCTAATTAGCTTTTGACTGCTAATTAATTTAATCTCCTGGTATGTCTTGTCCCATCAGGATTACTAGGCTGTGTACAATTGTAAGCAGACTTTAATTAGATGCAATTGATTATCCCAGTATCTCTCCTAATAGTTTAATTTTTTTAATGTTTATTCTTTTTTTTTTTTGAGAGACAGAGTGAGACAGAGAGTGAGCGGGGGAGGGGCAGAGAGAGAAGGAGATACAGAATCGGAAACAGGCTCCAGGCTCTGAGCAAGTGTTCAGCACAGAGCCTGATGCGAGATCATGACCTGAGCTGAAGTCTGACACTCAACTGACTGAGCCACCCAGACGCCCTTTTAATGTTAATGCTTAAGAGAGACAGACATGGGTGGGGGAGGGGCAGAGAGAGAGAGGGAGTTAATGTTAATTCTTAAGAGAGACAGACATGGGTGGGGGAGGGGCAGAGAGAGAGAGGGAGACACAGAATACAAAGCAGGCTCCAGACTCTGAGCTGTCAGCACAGAGCTCAATGTGGGGCTCAAACCCAGGAGCTGCAAGATAATGACCTGAGCTGAAGTTGGACGCTTAACCGACTGAGCCACCCAGGCATCCCTCTCCTAATAGTTTAACAGAAAAACTTCAGATACTAGCTTATATGTATACGGAAAATTTTTACCTGTAGGCATTGCCCTTGTGTGTTGCATTATCTTTCAGAATTTTAAACAAGCTAAGGTGTGATCACTAATCATTCAACTAGTATTTATTTGCTATCAAAATATTTTGGATTAATCTAAGCCATTTTTCAAGTGTTGAGTTCTAGATGTCATTGAGCTCTTCTTAAACATTAGGCACATATAGGAGGATATTTTACTAAATATTTCACAGTTTTTAGGTTATGGCAATCAAAAGATTGGGACCCATTATGAATTTAAAAATTGGGGTGTATAATATCTTTTTATTTTTTTATTTTTTTTTATAATATCTTTTTAAATAAGTGTTTATTGGGGCGCCTGGGTGGCTCAGTCGGTTGAACGTCCGACTTCAGCTCAGGTCATATGTCATGGTTTGTGGGTTTGAGCCCCACGTTGGGCTCTGTGCTGACAGCGGCTCAGTGTACTTGATAGATAGGGCTATTCAGTTTCTCTCTTTTTGAAGAAGCTTTGGTAGTTTGTATCTTTCAAGGGATTTGGCCCATTTCACCTAAATTATTGAACTTATTTGCACATAGTTTATAATATTCCTTTATTATACACACTACTACACTAGTGTGTAGTGATATCACTTCTCTCATTCGTGGTATCGTTATTTTGTTGAGGTTTTTGAGAACTAGCTTTTGGTTTAATTGATTTTCTCTGTTGTCTTTCTGTTTTCTATTTTTGATCCTTGTTATTTCCTTCTGCTTACTCTGGATTTAATTAGTTCCTTTTCTGGTTTCTAATGGCTTATTGTTAAGAAATCTGCCGCCTTTTTCAATTTAATCTTTTAATGCTATAAATTTCCTGTTAAGCACTGCGTTAGCTGCATCCCACAAATTTTGATATGTTTTCACTTTCATTTAGTTCAAAATATTTTCTCATTTCTCTTATGATTTCTTCTTTGACACTATGGGTTGGTTACTTGGAAGTGAATTAATTTCTAAATAGTTTGAAAATTTTGTTAGTGGTTTCTAGTTTAATTCTGTTGTGATCACAAAACCTACTTTATATGATTTCAGTCTTTAAATTGATTAAGATTTGATTTATTTTATTTCTTTATTTTTAAAAAATTTTTTTATAGTTTATTTATTTTTGAGGCAGAGAGAGACAGCATGAGCAGAGGAGGATCAGAGAGAGAAGGAGACACAGAATCTGAAACGGGCTCCAGGCTCTGAGCTGTTAGCACAGAGCCTGACGCGGGGCATGAACCCACAAACTGTGAGATCATGACCTGAGCTGAAGTTGGATGCTTAACCAACTGAATCACCCAGGCCCCAATTAAGATTTGTTTTAAGGCCCAGATTATGCTCTGTCTTGGTAAATGTTTCACATACATTTGAAAAGTAGGCAGAACAATATTCT